GGAGGAGGAGGAGGAGGAGGAGGAAGATCATGGTGATCGGGATCTGCTGGAAAACTCGATCTGGTGTCTGCTGGAGAAAAAATGAGAAAAAAAAAGAGGAAGAAGGTGGGAAGGGTAAATTTGTAATTGTATTTTAAAAATTTTTTGGTTTTGTAGGGTGTGTTGAGTCGGGTGTTGATTCATGGTGTGCCTATCATTGTCCTAAATTTAAATATCTATTAATATAAACAAAATATATATGTAGATTATATAAATATATTATAATATGCAAAATATGTCATACTTTAGTTACACAAACAAAATATAAATGGTCATCTATCATTTGTTCAGTTCAAGAAAAAGATCAAACAAAATACAGCTAATCACTATCACTCTCGGTAAAGTAATCTAGAACTTCTTCTTCTGGTGTTTCTGTCCCCTCAAACTCGTCCTCTTCCTCATCATCCTCATCCACACATTCTTCCTCATTTTGTTCAGCCGAATAAGATAATTGCAAGTCCTCACCAATAACCACTCGTTCTCCTCCCGAAGATGCTAGCGGAACATGATCATCCACAATAGTTGAGGGTTGCACTAATTGCAGCATAAGAGGATCATCATCCTGATAATTATTTACACAATTACCCAGAGATGAAGTGTCAATTATCGCTCTTGCCCTAATCTTACAAGCAGCATACCACCCTTTCTTACGCGGATTTTTAGAAGGATAAGAAGTGTAGAACACTTGTTGGGCTTGACTTGCTAAGATGAAAGGTTCATTTGTCTGTAGTTTATACTGAGGATTGATGTCAACTATACGAGAAGACGGATGGATCACAATGCCTTTGTTAAGATCATACCAATCACAATTAAACAAAATGACTGACTGAGGAATAGATGAGTCAAAATAGTGAAGTTCGATAACTTCTTTCAGTTGCCCATAATAATCTAACTCATCATCATTTAAAGTGGTTCCCTTAACACAAACCCCACTATTCATTGTTTTTTTGTTTTTTCCATACGAGATAGTATGAAACCGAAATCCATTAACCTAGTAACCATTATATAATGTAACATTACTGACAGGTCCAGTTACTAAAGTCAATAGGCGTGGATCAACCTCGTATCTTCCGCTGCAGACCTACATTTGTTATAAAAGTGTTGAATATTGTATTTTCATTAATAATACAAAAAAACTATAATAAATGACTCACCGTTGTTTTAAACCAAGAAATAAACTCAAGTTGTCATTGCATTTCAATTTGGTCCGATGATAGTCCACAACATATTTGAGATTTGAAAAGCCTACATTAAGAAGTGGTAGTAAACAAACTATAAATTTTATTAACCTAAATAAAGGAAAGGTAGAGCATAATGTACACAATCCATAGATTTACTTCCTCACAATTAAGCAAAACATAAAGTTCCACTGCCTTTAATTCCCTTGGTGACAATACCCGCCCACGCATTTGTCCCCCCAAAGGTTGACCTCCATTTCGAAATATAGATAAACAACCATCTATATTATCATTCCTGTTGA